TATCTGCCCCTTTTTCTCAAATAAATAAATTCAATCAAAAATAATCTTCAGTTTACAAAAAGCAAAAATAGATAAATAATAAAAGTTTAACTCCTTCAACAACAATTCATACATTTATATATTTCTCCAGCAAATTAACCTTTATCATTCTCTTAAATAAACACAGTGATCTGGCATTTTTAATGTCAAAAAGACAGAAATGGTCCTCCAACAGAATAATGAGCCAAAAACACAAATAAGGGTGTAAACACACCAGCCCTGTTTAGTACGCTTTAATTAAACCCTATTTGTCTTTAAAATCTATCATTTGGGGAGGTGTSAATGCATAATCAAATTCTGATCCTGGTCTGCCTACAAACCTAGGTCTCGGTTTAATTGAAGTGACCTCTGGGCCGTTCGTATGTGTGAACACGAAGCAGACTAGAGACTGCTCCAAAAGCAGGAAGTGACATAAAACAGTGCATTCTGAGTAATAATAGAAGTTACTCAAATACTTTGCTTGACGTCTGCATAAGGTGAACATCACTGCTATGAAGTTGGATGCGGTCCTTCTCAGTGCAGGCTGCAGCCATCTTGTGTGAAAAACAACATTCTCCATGGTCTTCTGCCTCATCTTCCTCTCACACTGAGCCCGTTGTTGAAATGTGCTTGTTTGGCACATTTTCCAAAAGCAAAAGAGAAATCCTACAACCACTAAAATCAGACATCAGTCCATGTTTGTGAAGTTGTGCTAAGTTTCTTCTTCAGAGGTTTTCATGCTGTTTTGTTCAGTGTTTGTTGGTTCAGCACCACCACAGGCCAGTGTGTGATCAGGTTGTCCACAGGCTTTGGTTCATTTCACACAGTTCAGTGTGAATGTGATCCACACCAGCTGAAAACAAAGCTTGTAATTTTGGTCCCCAATTGAACCAAGTCTACCAGACTATCAGGTGTGAATACAATCTAAAAACACACCTAAGGATATTTATGATAAACATTTGGACTATTCTGGAGAAGGCACACTTTAAACCTGAGACAACTGGACATGTTTGCTCAAGAGGATTTTTATCAAGACCAGGTTAATTATTTTCCATTCCGGTTAATCAAAAATCAAAATCAAAAACTAAATTTCATTAGTTGATTTTTATAAATGTTTATTGGTGTCAGTTTTAAGCTATTTCTGTGACTTTTGTGCGATTTTCTTTCTTTAACAAAAGGGTCAAATTTACCATGTTTGTAACGACAATTTGCTTGAATTAAAATAAACATTCTGTTTGAGCCTCAAATACACAGTTTGAAAAAGTTTACCACAAGAAAAGTTATTCAGCAGCACAACGGCTCACTGCACTGATGCCTCACAGCAAGAAGCTCCTGGGTTTGGACCAGGGGTCTTCCTGTATGGAGTTTGCATCTTCTCCTCATGTTTGTGTGGGTTTTCTCAGAGTACTCTGATTTTCTCCCACAGTTAAAAATAGGCACTTGGTGCATTAGGTTGCCTTCAGGCACAGCCTCCCTTGTAAAAGAGATCCGTGGTCCCAGTGGGATTGCCTGCTTAAATAAAGGTTAACAACATTAGCTTTGTGAGATTAGRTGTGGTGGCCATGATGAATTTGTTTGACTCCATAAGTTAATCATCAGGAAATCACCAGCTTTCTGACAGTACATTATGTGGATTTGTTTGGATGACGATGCCATGTTTCTCAAAGCCACAAAGTCTTGTCATGATTCGATTTTGATTCAGTTTAATTTAAAAGTCTGCGATTGATGTGATGTATCTAACACAACGTTCATTACCGTATTTATTCAAGTATAATATGTAAAATTAAATCCATAAAATCATCCATAAAGTTGGGGGGTAGTACTATACTCGGATAAATAGTTTTACTTATCGGCTTCATTCACAAAATTATTGAGTCCGGAAATAAGACCGCGTTGTAAAAATCAGTTGAAACGAGCTCACCTCTGACACTCCTCCATACTTCAGAGCGAGATAATAACAGATCCAGGCAGGAGACATGATGTGAAAAAAAGCAGTCCTGCACCTTAGTAA